GTTTGTACGTTGTCCATCTGACCCTTCTGTGCTCGAAAGCGCTGCACCACAAGCTGTTTGCCAAAGTCATCAGCGCGCCCGTCAACACGTTTTTTGACGTGACGCCGGTCGGCCGCGTTCTCAATCGATTCTCCAGCGACTTGGACCAAGTCGACAGCATGCTGCCGTTCATGGGGGTATTTTTCCTCCAAGTGTCGTTCCAGATCGTTGCCGTGGTCATCATGTGCGCGGTCGTGTCGCCGTTCATCCTGCTTTTGTACGTCCCGATGGCGTTTGTGTTTTACAAAGTCCAAGCGTTGTACAACAAGTCGTCGGCCGAGCTGAAGCGCCTCGAGAGCATGTCGCGGTCGCCTGTGATCAACTTGATCGCCGAGACCAACAACGGTTTGTCGACGATTCGCGCGTTCGGGATGGCCGCGACGTTTGCCGACACGAGCCGGCGCATCCTTGATCACAGCCAAAGCTTCTTCATGATCTACCGCATCTCGTCGCGGTGGATGCAGATGCGCCTCGACTGGCTGTCTGCTGGCGTCATTGCCGGCGCCGCGTTTCTCGCGGTGGCGTCGAAAGCATCGATTGGAATCACGGCCGCCGGCCTCGCACTTACGTATGCGTCCCAAATGTCGTCTTTCCTGTCCCGTGCGACCTTTGCCGGGTCCATGATTGAAAACTTCATGACGTGCGTCGAGCGGTTGGAGCACTACAATTCGCTCGACACAGAAGGCGACTCGGTGGCCGCCGTCGGCACGGACGTGCCGCCGTCGTGGCCGGCTGATGGCACGATCACGTTCGAGTCGTACTCGATGCGATATCGAAGTCAGTTGGACCTGGTGCTCAAAAAGGTTTCGTTTCACGTCCACGGCGGCGAAAAGGTCGGGATTTGCGGCCGAACGGGGTCTGGCAAGAGTTCGCTCATGGCGGCGCTGTTTCGTACGGTGGAAGCTGCCGCCGACGATGGCGGATGCATCAAGATGGATGGAGTCGACATTGCGTCAGTGAACCTCCAAACGCTTCGATCGCGCCTCACCATCATCCCGCAAGACCCCGTCCTCTTTAGTGGGACGCTGCGGTTCAATATCGATCCTGCCCACGAATCCAGCGGCGACGACCTGTGGGCGGTGCTGAAGAAAGTCCATCTCGCCGACCTCGTCGGGGACGACGGGCTCGAGTTCCACGTGGCCGAAAAAGGCAGCAACTTGTCCGTGGGCCAGCGCCAGTTGCTCTGCATTGCACGCGCGCTCTTGCGCCGCAGCCGCGTCGTCGTGCTGGACGAAGCGACAGCCAACATTGATCTCGAATCGGACCGCGTCATCCAAGAAACGATCAAGGAATGCTTTGACGGTGTCACCATGCTCGTGATAGCCCACCGCCTCGACACGATCATCCACAGCGACCGCATTTTGGTCTTAGACCACGGCACCGTCGTCGAGTACGACGCACCCCACGCGTTGTTGGCGAAACCAAACGGCGCGTTTGCGAACCTGGCGACCCAGGCGCGACTCGCCCCATCGTCCGTGCTGCGGTAGAATGCATGCCCCGGTCCAGATAGCGTTGCATGGAGCAACACGTCGTTGTTTTGGTATGCTCTTGTCCCGATGCATCCGACGCGCGGACTTGGTGGGATGCATGTGTCGTGCACCAAACTGGTTCCAACGACGTGACATGGCGGGCGAACGCGGCGTGGACATTGCCTCCGAACGGGCACCGGCCAGAAGATGGACGCGGCGAAAAGAGGCGTCGAATCGAGAGGAGAGCAGGCGACAGAATACCCCTCGTCTGGAGCTAACCGTCCCGCGGACAAACAGTGCACGTCGACCTGTGTAGGCCCCCACTGCGGTCTGGCATGTCCACGCAAACCCCTTTGGCTGTACATGCACTACAGCTCGCATCGCTCATCGCCCTTTCACTCCATCGCCAACGACGCCTCGACTCCATGCAGGGGGACATTGGTACCGAGGTTCGTATTGCTCGTACGAGCAAACAAGATGCAACGCAACCGTCGTGTTGGAAGAGGTAGTGGAGACAGATTCTGGCAACTAGAGAGCGCAGCCACCACGCCAACGATTGCTACGCCACAACGTGAAAGGTCTTGCAGAGCGCAGGGTGTTTGCCGCAGTCGGTGTC